CATTAAAATTGCATTAGTGGTATAAGAGAAGTAGTCCGGACAAACTTTAAAATTAAAAATTATTAAAGGGCCATAACTCTGACAAAAATCATTGAACCGAAAAATTCTGACAATATGCACAACTAGACTTGGTACTAACCATTCCTGTAAAGTTTGGATGAAATTGCACTAGTAGTTTATGAGGAGTAGTCCCGACAAACTTTTGTGTAAATAGCAACACACAGAAAAAAACACCTTTTTATCAAAGGGCCATAACTCGGCCAAAAATCATTCAACCGGAAAACCCGTGCAATATGCGCAAGGACTTGAGCTACAGGTCAATCCTGTAAAGTTTCATTGAAATTGCATTAGTGGTAAAAATCATTGAACCGGAGAATGCTGACAATATGCACAACTAGACTTGGTACTGATCATTCCTGTAAAGTTTGGATGAAATTGCACTAGTAGTTTATGAGGAGTAGTCCGGACAAGTTTTGTGACGGACGGACGGACAGACAGACAGACAGACAGACGGACAGACATACGACGGAGAAGTGATCCCTATATGTCGCCACTACTCCGTAGAGGCGACACAATACTCCGTAGAGGCGACACACAAATATTATGTGTTTACCGTTCTTCCGTTTGGGTTGAGTTCCTCGGGTTTTATTTTTACTAAAGTTTTGAGAGAGCTTGTAACATACTGGCGTATTCAAGGCATAAAAATAATTGTATATTTAGACGACGGTTGGTCGGTTAATTCATCCTTTCATCAGACTTATGCTGATTCCGATTTGGTAAGGACTTCTCTTGACGCTTCCGGTTTTTTAACTAACAATGAAAAGTCGGTATGGGTCCCGTCTCAGACGATGACCTGGTTAGGTCATTATTTTGACCTTAAAGCAGGTGTTTTGAAAATAACACAAGAAAGAGTTGATAATTTGAAGAGCGCAATTTCTGAAGCTAAGTCTGAAAAGAGGGTCACTGCGCGACATCTAGCAAAAATAACGGGTATGATAGCTTCTATGCATTTTGTCATTGGACAGCTTGGTCGCTTAATGACTAGGTCTTTATATGCAAAGGTAATGAGCAGCAGCTACTGGGATTCTTTCCGAAATATCGAACCAGAAAGTCCAGAATGGGCAGAGTTATGTTTTTGGTCTGACAATATTGATAATATTAACATAAAGCAGCTGTTTCCTGTTCGTACGATACAAGGGTCTATTTCTGTGTATTCGGATGCCAGTGACGTTGCGTGTGCGGCTTTTTCACCGCATATTGCTGAAAGTATTGCACATAAGACATAGTCAGATTCCGAAAAACACAAAAGTTCTACTTGGAGAGAATTAAAATGTATAGAATGGGGTATAAGGGCTTTGTCAAATTTCCCGAGTGATAAGCGCGTACAGTGGTTCACAGATAACAAAAAATGTGAAGTTATCGTCAACGCCGGAAGTTCAAAACCCGACTTGCATTCCTTAGCTTTATCAATTTTTTCATTTTGCAAAGAGAAAAGTATAGATTTGTCCATACTTTGGGTACCTCGCTCAAAAAATGAAATTGCCGATTTCTTTTCTCGTCTAATTGATGAAGATGATTGGTGCGTGTCCGATGATTTCTTTCATTTATAAATTCATTATGGGGGCCATTTACTATTGACCGTTTTGCTAATGTCGATAACAGAAAAATGATTCGTTTTAAGTCTAAGTTTTGGAATCCAGAAAGCGAGGCTATTGACGCGTTGTCTCAAAATTGGCTAGGAGAAAATAATTGGTTATTTCCACCCGTTTGTTTAGCATGCAAATGTATTTTGCATTTAATTGACTGTCAGGCTTCAGGTACTTTGATTGTGCCGAAATGGCATTCGGCTGCTTTCTGGCCTCTTGTTTTTGCAGACGAAATTTGCACTCGGAGAGATTATGTTTCAGATGCTTTAGAGTTTAACAATTCAGAAATCATTATACCCGGCAATAATAAAAAATCTTTGTTTGGATCTGGCCGTTTCAACGGGTCTGTTTTAGCTATTAAATTTGATGCCCGATCAAAATAAGTATTGAATTTGTTTTTATAAATAGTTTGCTCCGCCTTTCTCGGGTTTTTTATTTCTATTTTTAGTAACTTGAATGTTTTAAATACAGACTCCAACGTGTTTTTCTCGTTTTTGTTAAATGACACACAGAAGTATTTGTGTTATCGAGCATGCGTTTTGTAATTCACTTGAATTCATTGACCTGTTGAAAAGATAGAGAAAATCGTGATTGTTTACACGATACATACAGTTTATATATATATATATATGTATGCAAGAAATAAAAGAGTGTATAGGAAAAGATAAAGGAGAAAAGAAATGGAATGAATATCGTAATGGAAAGTTGTGGAAATGAATAACGATAATTAAATGGTTTTGTCAAGAAAAGAAAAGAAAAGAAAGAAGAAAAAGAAAGAAAGAAAGAAAGAAAATAAAAATGAATTAATAACTGAAAGTTGTAGAAATGTCTAAATAAAAAAATGGTGTACAAAAAAAAATAATACAAAAAATAGGTCAATGGACTCAGGTTTTACCAGCATGCTTTATTTGTTTATTATTTTACATTTTTTCAGATATTTTCAAATTTGGCATATGGAAAGATCTGCATCATTTATCTGAAGAAAATCCAAATTTAAAAGATCTAGCAGATAAATTACCCGAGATAGTGCTTCAAAGTAAATCTGACAATACCAGGAAACAATATTCGTCTTACTTCAGAAAATGGATTGCATGGTGCAACCAGATGAAAATAGCTAAAATATATCCCGCTTTGGAATTTCATATTGCCTTTTTTTTAGTTTCATTGATTCAAAAAGATAGCTCGTACGCAGTAATTGAACATAGTTTTTATGCATTGAAATGGGCGCATGATTTTAGTGACGTAAAAAATCCATGTGAGTCAAAAACGGTTAATTCAGTTTTAACTGCTGCAAAAAAGTTGTGCGGTTTACCAGTAGATAAGAAAAAAGCTTTGACATCTGAAGATATTACAAAAATGTTTACATTCTTTCCGCCTGATGAAGTAGATTTGTACAAATTAAGGACATTAACTTTTGTTGTAATAGGTTTTGCCGGATTTCTTCGCATTTCAGAATTAAGAAATTTGAAATGTTCTGACGTAACAATCAAAGAAGATCATCTGCAGTTATTTATAAGATCAAGTAAAACAGATCAGACAAACAAAGGACAGAATGTCCTCATTGCGAAAACAGGAAAAGTAACCTGTCCTTATAATACGCTAAGCCTTTATTTTAAAAAAGGGAACATTAAAACTAGCGATGATTTATTTCTATTTCGACAACTTTCTTTACACAAGAGCAAAAATACACATATGTTTAGAAATAACTTTGGTTTATCATACACAAGATTTAGGGAATTATTCCGGGAAGTACTGTCAGAATTAGGTTTGAATCCTGATTTGAGGGATGTTGCACATTTTCATTATCCCTCATGTACAGACTCAATCAAACCGAGTCTGCAGTTCTCTTGTAATTTTGTTGTGATTAATGCTTCCGAGGGATCACTTTGTTTCCAGATTTTTATACGGCACACACAGTTTAAGACGCGGTGGTGCTACCGCCAGCGCTATACATGGCATTTCAGACAGATTATTTAAAAAGCATGGAAGGTGGCAAAGTGATAAAGCAAAAGACGGTTATGTTGCCGAAAACTTTTCGGAAAGGTTATCAGTTACACAAAACTTAGGAATTTAAAAATCTTTTGAAAATTACTATATTATCTTTCACATTAAAGAGATGAGTTGCCTTGGTCGTTTTATATTATTCCTCAATAATTAAATACTTAACTTTAATCTTGTTACAGGATTTTATTTTACATTTTTAAATATCAATGATTATTCTTTTTGATTTCCCCTTCTTTATTTTTCGACGGCTTAACAGCATGCCCTCTAACCTTGTTTTATGTTATGTTTTTCTTTAAAGCTGCATGCTAGAATGTAGGTGTATGTTGGAGGTTAATAAATCATTTATGCTCGTTTGAGAGCATCGAATAAGAGCATAAATGTTTATTTACGGTGCATACACCGTGTCTTTCCATATATGGTAATTCCTCGTGTTTTTAATGGTTATAGTTATGGCGGTAATTATGCACGATTTTACGTGTAAGTTGATAAAATATAGTCATTTGAGGCATTACGTTCACGCCGTCCATTTGTGAAATTTCTTTAAATATAATTTTCATATATAACGAAATATCATGAATAAATTTATGTATTTAACATTGCCTTAAACAGATTTTTACTATCGTGGAGAAAAACAACAACAGCAACAAAACGTTATTCTTTTAATATGCCCGTTATCCTTGTGTCATGAAGTAGATTCCTTTTGGGCTTAGTGCTCTACTGATTACAAGAGATGTTTCGATATTTATTACTCTTTTACAATTGTCATTCAATCTTGACGTGCAATTTTTCATTTACTTAAAAGGCTATAAAATGGACTGTTTATTAAAACATAATTTTACTACGAACGCGAACTGTAAAAAAAATCACACTTTCAATGCATTTTTTGCTAAATCTCAAATGAATATACTCGTAACACCTCTTTTAGCTTTTTACAGTATTGCTATTTTTTAAAGTGGTTGTCAACCTGTCATTATAGGTCAATGTTCAGATGCAAATATTATAGTTTCTTAGTCATAATTATTTTGGGAAACGCACTTTATTTCTTACTATAAATTAAACTGATCACCGAAACGTATATTTAAGTTGTTTTTAGGGGGGGGGGGAATGAGGCTTTAAAATGAGATTTGTACATATAAGTCTTCAAGACTTGTATCATAAAAGAATAACTTCCATAATTGTACAATATGTCAATGAGATTTGTAAGCTAATTTATTATACTCTTTGCAATTTTGTCTTTTAAACATTTTACGCTTTTTCTGACGTTTTTTTTTAGAGCTCTATATCTTTTGTACAAGAACTTTACTGAGATATACTATATCTTATATTTCCTTTTGTTTTGTTTTAGAAAGGTGTCTTTCGCCACCAGTGGAAAAGCATCTCTGGCCTTGATTAAAAAAAGCAAAGGCTACTAAGTTGTAAACATAACGTCATCTGCGTGTTGAAGGCGTTACTTTGTAAAGAGACAGCGGACTACCTTACTCGTTCTGGACATTTGGAGAGATTTACATGTATGATTATTATGCAATATGTAAAAGATTACATTCTGTAATTCATAGCGAAATTAAACGGACTCAATATATACTCAAATCTATACAATAGGTACGAGATTATAAAAACAAAAGAGACTGTAAGTCCTAAAAGTAGTAATAAAAATTGATCTGAAAATTAAAGTTTATATGTAGAAATCGAGTTGAATCAATTTCGATACCTTTCGACGAAATCGAGGCTTTGATACACATTCGTGGTAAGAGAAACAATTATGTCCTCTTCGAAGATGACATCAAATCAGCAGACGTCTTCAAACCATTCTACTTTAGTTGCGCAACAAGCCACACCTGAGCACCAGACCCAATCTGAGAACGAGCTTTCACATGAAGAGCAGACGACACCAAATGGAGAGACGCTTTCAGAGCAGCAGACGTCATCTGAGCAGCACGCGAGATCAGAGCAGCACGCGTCATCTGAGCAGCACGCGAGATCTGAGCAGCACGCGTCATCTGAGCAGCACGCGACATTTGAGCAGCACGTGACATTTGTAAAGCAGTCATCTGTGCAGCAGACGATATCCGAGCAACACATCACATCTGAACAGCAGACATCATGTGTGCAGCAGACTTCATCTGAGCAACAGACAACAACACTTTCCTCAAACACAACATATAGTTTTGAACCTATGATGACAGTTATTAACAAAATAGCCGACGGACAACGAGTTCCGCCACAGACTACTATGAAATATGAAATGTTAAGGTTTTGCACCCTTCGATCTTTCCCAAAAGGGAACAAACCTTATATTACCAGATTGGCTGGTGCAGGATTTTATTACGCAAACGAAGGAGATGAAGTCGTCTGCTATTGTTGCGCGCGACGTAGGAGAAATTGGACAGAATTCGAAAATCCTATGGAAGTACATAGAGAATTAAATCCAAACTGCAGCTTCCTCATTCGTAATTCTGAAGTTAATGTCTCAGTAAGACGACAAAGTATTGAAAAATCTACAGGAGAATCTCACTCAAACCTGACAACAATTAATAGAGGCCAGTCTAACGCCAATTTTCATAATGAATTAACGGAAGTGAAAGTGTCGTCTGCATTTGAGACTGGATCACAAATTCAAACGAATCAAAACTCTGAACACTCATCTTTTGCAAGCAATGTGATTTCATCAAGAGAAAGGAACCAGTCTGTTTCACTACTTCCTGTTGATGTACCGCAAACTTCTTCAGAGAACCAATCTTCAAATAACTCAACAGGTAGTGCTTTTTTTTGTCACATTCATTTTGTTAAGCAATGTTTTTTTATCCAATTACATTTATATATAGGAAAACCCAATGGGTTAGAGAAGAAGAAAAAGACATCAACAAAATTCACAACATAATGCCATAGACCGGAAAAGTTTTATTTTTCGTAATGATTTTAACCTGCCCAAGTTATGTAATAGTCCTAGTCCTAGGCAAGCAACTTCATGATTGTGATGTAATATCTAAAATTGCTGCATATCGACAGTAAGTAGCTTTATCTGTGGCGGAATACATCAACAAGAGAGTAAGGTAATTTATCACTACCCGTACCGATTTTCGACACTGTAAAAGTGGTATTGCACGGCCGTGCATATATTTTGACGCGACGTCATTTACGTAATACATACATATACATGTGTAGGTGTAAAGACGCGCAAAATGTTATCGTAATACTATAGGTGCATCAATGAAACAAATGACTCTTATTCACTTTAAACGGTCTCTATATCCGGTATGTGATTAATAGAATATCATATTCGTGCAGGTTCAATACTGAATTTATTAAATTGTTCAATAAAACAATATTATGCTCGCCATAGATTCGCATAATATAATTATATTCAACTGGTGCAATAAATTCAGTATTGAGATTACTCACTGAATATCCTCTATTTATATTCTTACAAGGGGCAGAACTCGTTCTGATTCGTTAATTTGGTATTTACAAGTTGTTTTCCTTTCATTGTTTGTTAAGTGGTAACAATAACTTAATTGTGTTCCTTTATAATAATTTGGGAAAGCAATTTTGTTTTTACTTTTTCAGTCTTTTAATAATTATATTTTCAACCTAGGTGCTTAGTTGAGAATAGAGAATCAAAAATAGTGATACAAATCAAAGAAGAATATATAGATTATCGACAAAATGAAACTTTTTCTTGTTGTTTCCTTTTTTGTCTTTTTTTTTTTGTCTTTCGTTTTTTATGATCATGACTTCAATGCGGAAAAGATTCTTTCACGTGAAAAAAAAATGTCCTCGAAACTGCCAGAAGAAGCAGGCAAAAGCGGCTTTTGGTTGTTAATATTGATATTGCCCAAAATAAGTCGATATTTAACAATTCAATTGGGTTAGTTATTACATAGTTTAGACAAGACATTCTTACAATGCCTTTGTCATATTGATAATTTTTACAGGATTACGTCATTGGTCGGAGGAAGATGATCAATGGATAGAACATAGTAGATGGTCAAATGAATGTTCATACGTACGACAGATTAGAGGAAGAGAGTTCGTGAATATCGTGCAGATGGCTGTGCAGTATTCACTAAACGTATTTATGTTTTAATAATTACATTTTTAATACTTTTCATACCAAGCAAAAAGGACATAATTATATGTTTGATGTATAAATATATTTAATTTTTAATTGAAAGCATGTAAGGATAAGTCTGTATCGAAAAAGGTAAGTCTTATAATATAAAACGTATCTGATATAAATTCTTTACATTGTTCGGATCAATTCCTTAAGTAAATAAGAACTGTATACTTACAATTTGACAGCCGTTGAGATTGATTCCTTATTATTTTTTAAAACGTTATAGATATAATACTGGCTCGAATACACAAACCAATCCAATGTTCTATGAAAAACGTGCACCAAAAATAGATAATACAGTATTTAGATATTTTCATAAATATATTTCTGTATTTTTCAGCAAACCGGAAATGAATCAATTTCAACACAAGGAACTGAAGGCATGGGTAGTTTTTTTCTTTCTTTTTTCTTTAAACAATAAAGCTTTGAAAGCATATAAATACACGAACTGAAAGGAATTGGGCATAACTTTAAATGCTAATCGATAAATCGAAATGTTTGTGGTAAATAGAACTAGAAATTTAATTAAATATGCTTGGAATTATAAAACACACATGTCTATGTTAGAATTGTGTAAAAACAATATTTTATTATATTTCTGAAATTCAAAACTGAGCTTTGTTTTATTTTTCAGTTTTAAATACATCTACCTTTATATATTAATTAGATGAAGTATAACTTAATTCCTTACTTATGCATTAACTTAACATATCAAAACGTTGCATATCAGCAGGCAGAGGTTTATTATGTATTTATAAAGTTTAACTTAAATCGAAATGGATTATTCGCTTTTTACACCATTGCTTTACTTGTATCTTTTTTGTTTGTTTCTATCACTGTGTTTATTGTTTTATAGGAAGCGTATCTTCGTCTGTGGCCCCAAAACACCCCAATTATATCAGCCAATCATCACGGCTGTCGAGCTACAGCGATTGTGGGGACATCGTCATTCCACCAGACCGCCTGGCACAGGCCGGCTTCTTCTACGCCGGTTTTGGGGATTGTGTCCGATGTTTCCAATGTGGATTTGGTAAGTTAGAATTAATATCCCTTTAATAAGTTTTCATTTTGTTTTGATTTTGTATAATATTCATCCAGATACAAAATTTATCAACTGAGCTCAACTTATTTTTTTTCATTGTGATCGCAGCTAGTGTTGGATTACATTGTGTTTATCTATATCCAATTAACTGTTTTCAACAGCGTTTATTGAATCATTTAAACATCATTTCTATTACATAGACTAGGCCAGTTTTTGCTGTTTAAAGACAAGCAGCAGTTGATTGAGAACAAAACATGAAAGTATGCTTTTGTTGGAAAAGCACACTTTGAAATTTTCAAAAGTACGTCTTCTTAGTGGACAAATATTAGGTCAAAGATTATTTGTTATGAAAATGAAATTACGTTGAAAACTAGCATGATTGTGATGTAATGTTTAAATATATATATTGCACATCGACATTCAGCAGCTTTCTTTGTAATGGAAAACATCAACTCGAGAGTAAAGCAATCTATATATTCATACAAGGGAAGGAACTCGTTTCTGATTCGTAAATTTGGAATTTACTGGTTGTATCCTTTGTGTTTATTAAGTGGAAACACTATTTGACCTTTATAAATTTGTGAAAGCATATAACAGTATTTGTTGGTTTGTTTGTATGCCTTCAATTTTATGTAATTTCAACCTATGTGCTTCGTTGAGAATTTAAATTAGTGAAACAAATCAAAGTAGAATTAATAGAGTTTTGGACTTAATGGAGCCGCTTTTCAAATCATGACTTCACAGCGGAAAAAGTCCTTCTACGTGCCAACATATTTACCGGCAAAAACGTTTTAGGGTCAATATTGCCTTGAATTACATTCAATTCGGCTAGTAAACAAGGCATTCTTACATTACCTTTAATATAATGTTTATTGATAATTTTTACAGGATTACGTCATTGGTCGGAGGAAGATGATCCATGGATAGAACATAGCAGATGGTCAAATGAATGTTCATACGTACGGCAAATTAGAGGAAGAGAGTTCGTGAATATCGTACAAATGGCAGTAGAATATTCTCAAAACGTATTTATGTTTAATTTATATTTTTAATACTTTTCATACCATCTAAAAATACATGAAAATATGTTCAAGATGTATGAATATAAGTAGTGTAAAAGTGATAATTTCGCGGCCATCTTGCGCCGACGGCGCCGTCGGCGCAATTAGACGGACGTTAGGAACGTGAGACGATGGCTCAAGCTTCCAAGATGGCGGCTTCCATACTGGACAGTAAAAATACCCCTGAAGTGTAACAAAAGCGCACCAAGATAAGTTGAAACTGTAGAAATGCGCTCATTTCTCCTACGAAACTAGCTTGAATATAGTCATAGATAAAGTTTGAAAAAAACAAATGGAAAAACAAAAGGGATTTACTTTCTTTTTTGTTTTTATTAACTTAAAGATTTTTAATAAAAGTAAAAAATCATAACCATTACATTTTTTTTGTGTGTGTTAAAGAAAGTTTTGGAGTCATGAAATTGTCAGGTAAGTTCCACATTTATACTTCAAACAATAGAGCTTTACTTCTTTTGAATATTATTTCATTTAATTATAATGAGTAAACTGAATAGTGTTTATGAACCACACAGAGAAAAGTAAGAATGCTGTCTCCTAAAATATTCTTTGTTCTTACAGTAATTAACAAGATTAGAACCTGCTAAAATACTTTATGTACTTTATGTACTAAATGTAACTTTGTAATACGGACACTGACTGATCACAACTTCTAATATTTTATCAAGTTCTATATTTGTAGAAACAGGCAATAACAGTAACATTTAAAAAAACTTTTATTGAACTCTTTAACTAATAATCAAAAAGAATCACAGAATATACATGATTGAGCAAATAATTTTCACTTTTAACAACAAGAATAACAAAACTAGTAAGAAACTATAAGAATGAATAACAAAATGTAAAAACTTCAACAAGAATCACAAAATATACATGATTGCATGATTGGTTAGTGATATAAGATGCATTTTATTGAAGTTATTTGAATAGTAATGTTTTGCATAATTTTTTTATAGAGCTCGATATATTATTTTTATTACTTTGTAAGTTTTTTTTAAAGACAAAGTTTTTTCCATATTATAAGTTTTATGATTATCATGAATATTGATTACACACCTTTTTGATTAGATACCAGCTAATAACAGCCAAGCCGAGATAAATCAAGCATCTCCTCCATTTGATTGTTTTCTTTATATTATTGAACTGTTATGTAAATAGATAAACATAAACGATATTTTTCCCAGACAAATAAGTGAATTAAATTCAGTTTTAAATGCTTTTAGTAAAATGTTAATAGATCTTAAACATTACAGGTTACTATCTATGCACCTGGTGCATCTAATGATGACTTTGAAGGGGATGATGAGATGTTCTACGCGATTCCAGTAAGTCTTCTTATAAAAATAAAACTTTTTTTTTATAATTAATGATAATAATTTAATATAATTAAAAATAAGAATGAATATATTTTTAACTATTTATTTTCTAAATCACAAAAAGACATTTCACATACATATACATATATGATAGAAAAAAAAACATTGATAAATACACATCAATATTAATAATGATATATATATTATATAAGAAAGAATGGAATTTGAAATTTTGTGTGCTGTGACTGTAATAGCTGATAGAATAAATACGTGTATCTAATTACTGTTTTATTTTGTAATGTCC